AAAAAAATTGACTAGCTTCCCATATTTTTCTCGCTCTGGAACTGTTTGTATACTGTAGAAATTACCTGTTCCTTGAAAGTTTTCTAGAATTCATCTATAAAACTTTATGGACCTGTATTCTGGGAGTGAGAAGTGGGGATATACTTTTTTATATTTATTCCTCTTATTGGGATTTTTACATCTTGAGCCTACTTGGTATTGTCAGTAATATCAATTAGGTATTCATGAGTTGTTCTTTTGGTAAAATATTTTCTTTGCCTCTTACTGATTTTCATATTAAATTCTGTTTTGTTTGGTATGAATGTTTCCTGTATTTGCTGATATGTCTTCTTTCACATCCCTTCATTCAGCCACTCAATGATATTTTGTTTGATTTAAGTGGGTCTCTTATTTAAAAATGTAGCTAGGTTTTGCTTGCAATCCAGTCTGAGAGTCTGTTGTGATTATTAACTTCTTTGGCCTTTTTCTTGTCATCTTATTTACCATGCTTCTCTTCAGATCTTTCATATCTTATTTTAACATTATTCTTCTTTTTAATTGAGGTTAGCCCCAAGTTTTCTTTGTTCAACCTGTTTTCTTTTTAATAGATTACCTTTATATTTTCAACACAGTTCTTATATTTATTTTTTCCAAAGTCTAAATTTAATTAGTGTTGATAACCTCCCTACAAAAAACTTAGCTTGCTTCTACTTTACTTTCTTTGACCTTGCAACAATTCCCTTACATCCCCTCTCCAGTAAAGAACATAATTTCCATAGTTCTATCGTCTAGCATTTTTGTTTTGTTTGTTATTAGCACTCATTTTTAATCAATGTTTATCTAGCATTAATGTGTTTTACTCATTTTCTCTCTATTGCTTCTTGTACCTCAGTACATCCTTTTAGGTTAGCTTTTATTCATGAAGTACTTCCTTATTTCAGAGAGTCCCTGAGAGGTTCTTTGAATGTCTTTAAAAATCTCTTTATTTCATCCTCACTATTGAAAGATAGCTTGTCTGAAATAGTATTCTGGGTTCAAACTTATTTTCTTTTGTTGCGTCTGGCATTTCTGTTGAGAAGTCTGATACACATCCCTTTCAGATAATCTGGTTTTTCTGGGAACTTCTAAGACTTTGTCTTTATTTTTGATAGTCTGAAGTTTATCCACAGTTTGTTTAATAGTAAATATTAAGAATTTTGTCTTGCTTCTTACTCAATGGATCCTTAGTGGGCTTATGTGTTTTCTAATTCTGAGAAATTCTTGGTCATTATTGCCTCTTCATTCTATTTTATCCCTCCTCTTATTGTTTCTTTGCTCTGTGTACTGAGCGAATTACTCAACTCAATCTTCTATCTTACTATCTGGCTCTTCATCTGAGTCTGTGCTATTATTCAGTATTCTGTTAAGTTTATTCAACAAGTGTTTTTATATTCAGGATATCTAATTGGTTCTTTTTCTTTTCTTTTCTTTTCTTTTTTTTTTAGGTGAGGCAACCCTTGGTTGACCTCACAGATTGCAAGGACCTTGTCAGCTTACAATCCCTTATTTTTTATTTTTTACACCTATAGCACTTGGTCTTCCTAGATGGTCTCCCATCCAAGTACCAACCAGGCCTGACCCTGCTTAGCTTCCGAGATCAGAGGGTATTGGGCTTGTTCAGGGTGGCATGGCCGTAGTCTAATTGGTTATTTTTCAAAATTATATGTTATTCATGGATGAGGTTTCCTTCTTTTGCTCTTTGGGAGTATTAAATACAATAACATTTGTTTTAAAATTATTTTCAGGATGCTCTATTAA